CGTGCAAAATTCTATCATATGATCTCTAGTGTCATTTCTATAACCAAGGCTATATTTTCCAACTACTGGTGATTCTTCTTTGTTTCCAACTTTTGTGTTCTAATCACCAGTGATACTCAACACATCTTAATTGCATGTTTGGTCAATTTCAGAGTGCAGATGTTGGTAAAAATCTTCAATTTCCTCATCTTTGACTTTGGTGATTGGTGTGTAAATTTGAATGATAGTAGTATTAACTGGTGTTTCTTGTAGGTGTATGGATATTATCCTATCACTGACAGCATTATACTTAAGCATAGATCTTGAAACATTCTTTGTGATGATGAATGCCATGCTATTCCTCTTCAATTTGTCATTCCCAGTATAGTACATCATATGGTTATCTGATTCAAACTGGCCAAAACCAGTCCATTTCAGCTCACTAATGCCTAGGATATTGATCTTTATGCATTCCATTTCATTTTAGAGAACTTCCAATTTTCCTAGATTCTTATTTTGTACATTCCATGTTCCAATTATTCATGGATGTTTACAACTATTTTCTCTAATTTTGAGTTTTGCCACATCAGCAAATGAAAGTCCTGAAAGCTTTACTCCATCCACATCATTATGGTTGACTCTACTCTGAGGAGGCTGAGTGCCTTCCAACCTAAGGGGCTCATCTTCTGGCACTATATTGGACAGTGTTTCAGGGTTGTTCATGAAGTTTTCCAATAATATATCAGACAGTATTTCACTGCTATTCATAAGGTTTTCACTGACCAAATGTTTGAGAAAGGGATGGCCCTTTCTTTCTTCCAACTCTGTCTTAGTCTGCAAGTTCTGCTGAAACCTGTCCACCATGAGTAACTCTGCTGGTATTTGAAATACTGGTGGCATAGCCTACAGCCTCATAGCAAAACATGCAAGCCACCACAGCACAACAAACTGACAGACTAGTAGTGGTTAAATACAGTACATAAGTGCATTAAGATAAGTAATACTAAATATATCTCTGGCATCTTTTGTTTGCTTCTCCAGACCTACCCTCCACCCTTTCACCTTAATCCTCCTTGCTCTCACCTCCAGGAATCTGTCCTAAATGAACTATATTACTTTCCATGTCTCTGGTGTCCAGCTGATTTTGACCAGTGACAGCTCTGGTAGGATATCAGAGAAGAGAGAAGGGTGAATTCAGGGTATAAAGGCCCTGGGTCACTCCCAGCCAGGTCATCTTCAGCTGGCCGTGTCCCTGACTAAAAGTCACAGATTCTCTTGAGCTAGCAAACTCTCTAAACACTCTTTGCTTCCAACTTCTGATAATTGCTCTCTTCCTTCATCCTATGAGGGGTAGTCATAGCTCAGATAGGACTGGCCACAGGTTGGCACCAGCCTGGAGCCTTCTTTGCATTTAAGCTTTGTAAATAACAAAACAAAACAATTCCCATCCTATAGAATAGCTCTTGTGGTGTAGTGCCTAAAGCATTTGACTGCTAACCAGAAGGCTGGCGGTTCAAACCCACAGCCACTCCTCAGAAGGAAGGTTGGGCAATCTCCTTCTGTAGTGATACCACCTCAGAAACCAAGGAGAGGTTGCTATGAGTCGGATCCAACTTGATGGCAGTGAGTTTGATTTGGTTTGGTTTGATAGAATTTCCAAAGTTGTACATTTTTATGGAAGCAGACTGCCACATCTTTCTCCCGTGGAGCAGCTGGAGGGTTTGAATCACAGACATTTCAATTAGCAGGCAGGGCTTAAGCACTTTGTCACCAGGGTTCCAAACTATCCTGGAATTATCTTGAGTCATCTGTTTCCTCTTTACTGTGATGCTGAGGGATAAAATCTCTTATATGCCAGACACCTTTGAGAATCTTTTATTAATACAAAGAAAGTACAAGGAATGGAAACTCCTTGAGCTTTAATGTGTGAAAATCTCTACTCCTGCTGGAACAGTGTAAGCAGCTGAGGAAGAAAGGAAGACAATGATAGTTTAAAATGGTGTTAAAATTGAAATGGTAGTGGATACGAGAAAATGGGATGTTGATCTGATCTGTGATACTGAAAAGAAGTAAGGCAATGTGAATTTCAAATGAATATGAACACCAAGTTAGCAGGCTGAGGCTGACAGAATTTCTAAAGGGGAGCATGTCAACCATCTACAATTATGGGAAGGTTATAAACTCCAAAAGAAAGTCAGTGATTACTAGGAATCAAGGGAGTAGTGCACTGTTTAAAGAGATAAATTAAGAAGGGAAACGTTTAGATCAGATAACAGGAATATTTTCTAACGTTGAGGTTTTTTATGTCTTTTAAAAAGACAAAAAAAATTTAAAAATGATAAGTTACCTTATATATGAAAATTATCTATAGTATGTCTGTCTGTCTGTAGATTTATTTATCTGTGTAACTATCTACCTAGCTATCTATCCATCTACCTACCTACATACTTATCCATTGCTTGTAGAAATCAACCATTCACAATCTAGGAATAAAAATAGTGATTACTACCATTCCTATCAGTTTTGTAAGGTATTTAATAGATATATCATTTTTTTACTTTGTTTATTAATAGTTAAAAACTGATGGTTAGAAAATTTGAGCAACATTCCAGTGGTCACGGACTGGTAAGTAGCAGAGCCAGGGTATGAACCGAGGGGTCTTTATCTATATACCTCTGTCTGTAACCACTGGATAACTAAATTATTGGAATATGTTATTATATCTTTAAATTTTAATTTTTCTAATATTTATATGAGTATAGGGATTATCTTACTAGTTCTCCTAAGTATCCTGTTACTCATTTCCTTGACTAAATAAAGATATTCTTCAAGTACCTTGGAATATGGCTACTTGGGCTCTTTAAGTTTGTAATGGTTAGCCATTCTCACAGTCATTTCTCATTCTTGAACAATTTAATTGTTCCCCACCCATTCTAGCTATGTGAATGAAGGAATGCCTACATAATTTTATTTACTTGTCCTCCTAAACATTGCTCCTTTGCAATTTTGAAAAACAATTTCTCAATCCACTACTTTGTACAATTGCAATTATCCAATAAGTTATAAAATATTTATAAAGTTATCATTTGAAAGAGTATATGCTATTGGACTTTCTTGTTATAAATTACTTGCTTCTCATACTTTATGTTTTTAAATTTAATTTAATTTACTTAATTCTAAAAATATTTTAAAAGAAAATCATACTCATAGCTAACGTTTCAAACAAAACAGAAGACAGTCTAGTGAAGTGAAGAAAACGTCTCTGCCTCCCATACACAGCTCTTGGCTTCCTTGGTCAGAGCTAATCACTGGCACTGGTTTCTTTTGTATCCTTCCAAGAATCTTCTGTGCACATACCTATGCACACCTTTTTTTCTTGACTTAACTTTTTATCTTGGGTATCTTTCCACATCAGCATACATTGTGCTACTTCACCCTTTTTAATGACCGTGAAATAGTCTCTTGCAAGGGAATAATATTGTTCCAGTCCCTTGCCGATGGACTCTTTTAAATCATTTTTTTAACCAGAGGTTTTAAATAAACAAAATTTTTATAAGCATATTTCTATATATATCTTTGACTATTTATCCAATATTGATAGGGAAAATTTCTATCTGGGGCATTTCTGGGTCAAAGTATGTTGTTGTTGTTGTTGTTGTTTGCCGTTGAGTTGGCCCCGACTCATAGCGACCCCTCCTTGGGTTTCTGAGGCAGTATCACTACGGAAGTAGGATTGCCCAACCTTCCTTCCGAGGAGTGGCATTTAATTTTTAAATATGTTTTTTCCCCAATTGCCATCCCCAAAATGGGTTTTAACTTTACAGAAAACACATATAAGAGTCTAAACTGGCTACTCACACTTTAAAACTCACACCAAGCTCCATGCTTTGGTATCACCTTCTGCTTTGAGGGTATAAATGGCAATTTTCTGAAGATAAACAGTTTATTTTACATCAGTGTTTTACCCATGGACTGGGCTCTCTTTTGTCTATAAACATTTTCAAGCCAGTAACACATTACTTATGGGTATTTTCCCATGATTTAGTCAAAAGAAACCTCCAAAAACAAACCAACCCTATAGAGTTGATTCCAACTCACAGTGGTCCTATGGGACAGAGTAGAACTGCCCCACAGGATTTCAAGGCTGTAAATCTTTAAGGAAGCAGACTGCCTCATCTTTCTCCCATGGAGCAGCTGTGGGATTCAAAGCACCAATTTTTCATTTAGCAGTGAGTGCTTTAACTCCTGTGGCACTATGGCTCCTGCCTTAAAAGAAACCTACTATGTTAAAAATAACACATTTGACTAATTCCTTGGTCTACACTTTGGCTCAGGCTATTTCCTCCTCCTGCAAAACCTACTCCACCCAAACCCACCCTGTATGTCACAAACGCTACATGCCCTTCCTGGTTTACTTCCAATGATACCTTCCCCATCCAAGTCAGGAGTCACCTTCTGAACTCCCAGCTCTTCTGTTACAGGCACATTTTACTTTGCAAGTCACTGGTAAATGGTAACTATCTTATGCTCTGGACACTTCCACGTCTATTAATGATCTTACCCTCCCCTCTCTTCCCTGGCCTGGTCCAAGGAGTTGATATAGTTTAACTACATATTAAGTATTATGCTACCAAGTTTATTTTCTTTTTTGAAAAAATTTTAAGTTCTATTATTTTAAAATATCAACTAATGTAACAATATTTTTATTCTGAAGTTCAGAATTTCTGACACAGCAAAAAATGATTTAAAAATGTTTTGTGGGAACTTAACTCAGAAACAAATGCAGCTTTAAAAACTGAGGGTTAAATCTGAAACATGCTGGCGAGGGTAACATGGATGCTATCATATTAAAGGCTTTTGGAGGCAGGCTAGCATAGTTTACACGCCATCAGACCTATTTATAGAGCTGACTCCTTTTTGCAATGTCAACTGTAACATTATACTTATTTTAAACCACAGTATCTCAAATATCAGCCTCTACTAGTGGTACAGTTCTCTCTTGTTTGATATCAGAGAGCCCAATGGAGCCTTCTGAAGAACCTAGTCAAATTAGCAAAGACAACTTTTTAGAAGTTCCTAATTTATCTGATTCCCTTTCTGAAGATGAAGAAGTTAAAACTACTTTCAAACCTGCTTTCTCCCCTCAGCCAAGTAGACGAGGTTCTGATTCTTCTGAAGACATGTACATGGACACCCCCTCTTCAGGTATGAGGAGAGTTTCTTTTGCTGATACCTTTGGATTCAATCTTGTGTCTGTTAAAGAGTTTGATTGCTGGGAATTACCAACTGCTTCAACCAATTTTGACTTAAGGAAGGACGTTTTCCATACAGAAGAATATGTTTTATGCCCACTATTTGACTTGCCTCCTTCAAAAGAAGAGCTTATGCAACAACTTCAAGTACAGAAAGCGATATTGGAATCAACTGAGTATCTTCCTGGGTCTACAACTATGAAGGGAATAATTCGAGTGTTGAATATTTCTTTTGAGAAGTTGGTGTATGTGAGAATGTCCTTAGATGACTGGCATTCACACTACGACATCTTAGCAGAATATGTCCCTAATTCATGTGATGGTGAAACTGACCAGTTCTCCTTTAAGATATCATTGGTTCCTCCTTATCAAAAAGATGGCAGTAGAGTTGAGTTTTGTATACGTTATGAAACTGCTGTTGGTACATTTTGGTCAAATAACAATGGCTTAAATTATACATTGGTTTGTCAAAAGAAAGAACAAGAGCTGGAGCCTGTAAAACCACCAGAAGAAGTACCCAGTAGACACATAAAAGGCTGCTTAAAGGTAAAATCAAGGTGAGGATATATCTTTCATTTTTTACTATTCATAATATTAAAGCGTTTAATGTTATTCTTTATTTCATATGTTGTATGAAATAGCCATTCTATTTTAGAATATTCTGCTTGCTATGTAAAAAGCAATGGTGCCAGGTGTTAACAAGGTCAGTGCTATTCAAGTAACAGCACTGTTACAACTTCTTCAAATGTAAGACAAATTAAAAGTGTAATGTAAGAGATGGCAGGCACACTGTGTATATTATTTGTCTAATGAATTATAAATTTCTTAAGCGAAATTAATAAAATTTAGATTCGTCACATAGAAAAACAATTTTTGGACATCTGAAATATATTCATTTTCAGTGGTTTTTAAATACCTATGTCCCACATTGAAACATTCCTAGTTACTATAGAAACTATGTCTCAATAGGTACCAAGTGCTCAGAAATTTGTTGACCTCCCAAAAAAGCTGCAGTAAACTTCTTAATGACAGATTGAGTCACACAGGGATGTTTTGAGTGATACATGTTAAAGAAATCATAAGTGACCTTAGCGATAAACTAATAGAAAGGCATATGATTTTTGTGGATAATGTATGAAATCCACATGAAACTTTATAATTTATAACCAAGTTTAACATTATTGCAAAGAAACTGGAATGGTTTAGTAAAAATAAATGGAATAGAGTGAAAAAAAAGAGTGACCCAAATAGAAATAAAGAGACTCAGCTGTGTCGATTAGAGATTAGGAATGTGACCCCTCATTAATAACCTTGATCTCCTGTTAATATGAAAATAAAGAAATCCCGAGTGAGCTCTCTGTATAATATAGAGTGGGCTAATTTCCATGATGTTAGGTTAGTTGATAAGCCATCTTGAAGGTGCTAGAGACTGTCTGCTCCTAAGATTATCCCAATAGGAAATTCCCCTTTGCTTCACCAGCCACAGAACAATACTCGATTTATTCTCTGGTTGATCTTTTCTACCTGTCCTTAAAGTCAGAGATTCTAGAGTAGATTCTGTACTAGAAGTAGTGGCATACCTTAGAAGTGTAATCAAGACACCTAGATTCTGTGCAGAATTCAGTGGAAACGTATCACGACAGTGGGGAAATTTTAACCAGTTTATGCTGTAATGCTCTGATTATTATATGGCAGCAAATAATACCTACTGAATTTCTAATTCCAATGCATCAATGAATAAAACATAATATAGGTGGAAGCAATTCAATCACATAAACTATTTCTATTTTCATTATCATTTTAAGTCATTTGAAAGATTGCCCTAATTAGCTTTGTGAATTATGCCAAATTTCTTAATCTAAATAAAACTTTCTTGGATTTTAATTGATGCTATTAATAAAGATAATGTAATCATAAGCTCTATGTATGCTAAAATAATAATTTATATATTTATAAAATTTTTAAACTACATATTAGCTAAGCAGACAAAATAAGTTCAACATTATAAAACACAACTAATTTATGCACATAAATACATACATATTAAATACTTTTCAAAGACAATAATCATCAGTGAATATCTATTCAATATACTGTAACTTGCCCTATATGTTATAGAAAAGTAGAACTTAGGAAAGACAGACTTATTTCAAAAATGTCATAAAAGACCTCACCTAATCGACTTCCATCAAGTGGGTTCCCATTCATAACGACCCTGTAAGGGCAGTGTAGAACAGCCCTATAGGGTTTCCAAGGCTGTAAACCTTTACGGAAGCAGACCGCAATATCTTTCTCCTGTGAATTGACTGGTGGGTATGAACCACCAACCTTTCAGTTAGCAGTTGAGTGCTTTACCCCCTGCACCTCCAGCATTCACTGCTCACAAAAGAAGTATTGTTTAACTGATTTTTCTGCAAATTAGATTCGACTTTAAAATGATAAGCAATACAACTGAACTGCAGTATAGATAGGGAATTCCCTTTATAGAGCAAACTTGACAACAAGACCAGAGAATAGACAACTGATAGGCCTGATCTATCCCTCACTCAAAAACTCACGGCTGTGGAGTTGGATCCGACTCATAGAAACCCCTCCTTGGGTTTCTGAGGCGATATCGCTATGGAAGTAGATGACCTGATCTTCCTTCAGAGGAGTGGCCGGTGGGTTTGAACTGCCAGCCTTCTGGGTAGCAGTCAGATGCCTTAGGCACTGTGCTACCATGATATTATTGGAATCTCTACTAGAATAAGGTATGTGTTACTATATATCCATACACACATTTGTATTCAGAACAGTAATCATCAGATTCATAGCAGACACCATTCATGTTATATTGCTTTGGGGAAAAACCTGAGAAGAACTAAACCACAAAATGGTCTAAAGGCCTGTAAAGTTTCCTAATGAGTTATAAAAATGGAAAAAATCTCTCTCCTTGAAAACCACAAATACATTTTCTGCACTTCTATAATTTAAAAATGACCAACATAATTCAAACCACATTTTGAAAAAAGCATTTGCCTCTGGAGGAGGCTTTTTGAGCTGAGTTTCAGTCCACCATGAATTTTTACATCTGATTTATATACCACTCAAAATGGAGTGTATAAAGGAAATCCTGAAAGATCCTTAGAACAGCATGTGCTGTAATAGAATATTTATACAGCTTTTCCATGATATAATTTATATGCAATAGGGTTTCAAATACTCCTAAAACTCACACAAGAGAGCATTATCAAATTTCTAAATGAATATTGCAGTTGGATTTAATTGTGAAGAATTTGGTTAGGGAAAAATAACACACCTTATTAGTGTTGTTTTATAAAATATGTACTTGGCTAAAATAAGGATGAATTAATACTTATTTGATCAAAAGAATTATAGCTCCTACCCCCTCCCACCCTCCCCACCCCCCTGCAAATAGTTGTAGTATCTGAATGAGTCTTTCTTGAATGTTTCCCTGGTCCTTATATAGCTTAATTTGGAGGTATTTCTTCCAGAAGATAAATACAGAAGAGGAATGTATGTGACTTCTTTGTTTTATACATGCAAGTGGATTAATAATATTGTATGATGTAAGTCACAGTTACAATAAATTAGGCTGTCCTAGTGTTGACTGTAACATCTAGCTTCAATTCCTCCTAATACCAAAGTTAATTTCCTATTGTGGTATCTGTGATCGTATCTCCCGAAAGTGTCAATAATCCCTTCTAATAAGTACAGAAAGGACTGTGACAACACATTTAGTGAGCAGGATTTCTTTTATGTCAGTCACCCATCTAGCTATGACGTTTTGTCTATGGAGAGTTTTTCAGGTCAGAGTTTGCAAAATCTCCACATTGGTTTGGGCTATTTTTTGTTTTAATGCTTGTCAGTCTATCCACTTTGGACAGAAATAAATACCTAGGGGGAGCAGTTTGTAACTCATGAGCATGTGACCGAGAGTGACCCGAGGCATTCAATTGCTCTGAAAGACATGCATCATGAGATCCTTGTGAAGTGTCATCACATATGTGGCCCTGGGGTGTGTAACAACAAACAAACTAAGCAGACTTCTAATCTGCATCCCATGGGTTTTATTTAAAAATAAATGACACTGGTATAAATTACAATACATCCATAGCAATACATAAGCTAAAAATTGCATTTAAAAGCAGTATAACCTTAAAGTTAAAATGGTGGGCTTCAGAGTTAGACATATCTGGATTTGAGTCCTTCCTACATTCCCACTGTGTGATATTGGTTAGTTAAGCTGAGTTGGTTTCCTCTTCTATTTATTGGGAATCATACTGGCACTACTTCATGCAATGGGATTTCTATGAGATAGTGCATGTAAACCTTTTACACAGTGTCTGACACATAGTTAAGTTCTTCGTAATTGTTAATGCTATAAAAAGTCAATCCTAGCAGTAGATGGATCCAGAAAAACCCTGGAAAGGCTCAACCAACCCCAAGTCTCTTTCCTCTCTCTTTTGAAGGGTTCTGAATTTTCCTTCATCTCTTAAAGGATTTTGTCAACAAGAAAAACTAATCAAACTGTACGTTTTATTGAGAGGTGTATCACCATATCTGGAAGATATCTTAGTGACCATTAAAATTTCCCCTTTAACAGATGAGAAACAGAGCGTTGAGCATATGTAACACAATCATCCAGTCATCCATCAAAATTGTCATCATCATTACCAAATCTTGTGCAGCTAACTAATTTTCTGATTCTTGGCCTTGCATTATTTTCCATACTTCATAGGTTTCATTGTTCAGATTCCAAAATTTGTCCAACAAAAGTTTATTGAGGCTGAGGGTGTCAGGTGGTATGCTAAGCATTGGTATCCAACTGAGTAACATGGTTGGAAACAAGACCCATGAAGGAGAGGCCTCATGGGAAAAGGCTCACAGGGGCAGAAAGGGGAATAACAGGAGAGAGAGAAAAAACAACAAACCAAGCTCGCATTCTTTGAGCAGATAATGGAAACCATGAGTATAAACAAGCAAAACTAATCAAACTAGGAAAAGTTTATAGCTATGAGTATTAAATGAAATAAAAATGGTTTACATTACATTTTAGATTTTCTAGAATATGTGATATATTGGAAATGTGTGTGTGTGTATGATGTTAGCTAAGGGAGTGTCTTTCTCAGTACTTTTAAATCTTTTTTTCCTTCCTACCAGCTGCTAAACGTATGTTCCAAACTGTTGGATACACAGGTTGACTTTATCTGGTTTTGTATTTTATTGAGTGAAAGCAATTTATTATTTTAAGTAAATAAACAACATCATATAAGTGTTTGATAAAATTTATAATTTGACAATGTAAATGCAAAAAAAAAAAAAAAAAATCCTGAAAGATTTTCCAGCCACAAGAGAAAATTGATTAGTCCACTCTTTCTACCTGGGAGATTGAATCAGGCATATTCATGGATGAAGCATGGACAAATCATTTATAAAACATGACTTTAAGAATAGCAAGAGTTGTCCTCCAGGTAAAATCATCAAAATGAGGCCAAGAAAAGCACTGGAAAATAGAGCATAAGATCCTGCCATCCTGCATGCTCCAGTCAGAGCC